CCGGGCCCCTTTCCCACTCCGAGTGTCTCTCCACAGCGTGGCCTTCCTTCCATACATGGATAACATATTTGATGAGGTGTTCAAACTGTTGGAGGTGAGTCGGTGAGGGGGTCCTTGACCTCCAGCGAGGGTCGTCCCGGCCTCGCACGGGCCCAGCCACACACCGGCCCTTTTTGTTCCAGTGTCCCCACCTGAATGTGCGGAAAGCGGCCCACGAAGCCCTGGGACAGTTCTGCTGTGCCCTCCAGAAGGCCTGTCAGAGAAGCCCCTCCGAAGCCAGCAGTGCCGGTGAGGAGCCGTCAGCAGCAGGCTGGGCGCCCGGGGCCCCGGCAGGGCGTGACCGCGCCTCTGGCCAATTGTGTCTCCAGCTCTGCGGTCCTCCTTGGCTCGGGTGATACCGTCCTACATGCAGGCAGTGAAGGTGGAGAGGGAGCGCCCGGTGGTGATGGCCGTGCTGGAGGCCCTGACAGGGGTGCTGCGCGCCTGCGGGAACCTGGCCCTGCAGCCTCCTGGACGCCTCAGTGAGCTCTGCACGATGCTCAAGACGGTGCTGCAGAAGAAGGTGAGCAGGGGGGAAGGGAGGCTGTGGGCACGCGAGGGTATCGGGCCCTGGAAGAGCCGGCCTCACCACTGCCACCGTGGAAAGGAGACGGCAGGAGAGCCCCCGACGGCTGAATTATGTCTTCCACAGACAGCCTGTCAGGACACGGAGGAGGAGGAGGAAGATGAAGAAGGAGACCAGGTGAGAGCTACAGATGAAAGCCGTCTAGACCACCGAGTGCCCGCAGGGCCAGCGGTAGACGGTGCCCTCAGCTTAGCCTGGATGGAGGGAGCCAGGGCGGCTAAGAAAAAGTCGGTGACGGCCCGAACGGTGCCGCCCTCATCCCAGTAAGGTGGTGGGGTATTCAAAGGAGAGTGGTGTGCACTGGGCGGTGCTGGGAGTGATAATGGAGGGCCCGGGCTCTTAAAAAGCCAGCCTGCAAACGGGTGAGTCCGCGAAGCAAGGGCGCCCGGAGAACCACCCCCAGCAGCCAGTGGCAGATTGCGGGGTTGGCAGATGCCCAGTCCTAGAGCTGGGCCCTGGCGCTCCAGCCCCTCCCCTGGCTCCACAGGCAGAGTATGACGCCATGTTACTAGAGCATGCTGGAGAGGCCATCCCCGCCCTGGCAGCCGCCGCCGGAGGACAGGCCTTCGCGCCTTTCTTTGCCAGTTTCCTGCCATTACTGCTGTCCAAGACGGTGAGTGCTCCGTCCCCCAGCCTCCCGGCCTGGTCCGGCCGCGCGCCCAGGGCCTGCACCCTGCCCACCTCACCTCCATGGTAATCGGCACCCCTCCAACCTCCCAACAGAAGCAGAGCTGTACGGTGGCGGAGAAGTCCTTTGCGGTGGGAACCCTGGCCGAGTCGATCCAGGGTCTGGGCGCCGCCTCAGCCCAGTTTGTGTCCCGGCTGTGCCCTGTGCTGCTGAACGCCGCCCGGGAAGCGGACCCCGAGGTGCGGAGCAACGCCATCTTCGGGCTGGGTGTACTTGCGGAGCATGGGGGCTGCCCTGCTCAGGAGTATCCTGTGCCTGCAGGAGGGGAGACGGGGTTGGCAGTGAGCCCGGGCACCGGGTGAGGTGCTCCCGCAGGGGGACGTCTGCCAATGTGTGTGTTCCTTAACTGGGGGCCAGCCACTTCCCGAAGGTCCTGGGCCTCCTTTTGCCCCTGCTGGCGAGGGAGCGGCATGATCGCGTCCGCGACAACATCTGCGGGGCTCTTGCCCGTCTGCTGATGGCCAGTCCAGCGAGGAAAGCGGAACCCCAGGTGAAGGCAGGCTCGTGAGGCAGGGGTGGAGGCCAAGGGTGGTGGCCAGGGGTGGTGGCGGGACCGGGACACGTGGGCCTGAGACGTCTGTGTGTTCAGGTGCTGGCTACCCTGCTACATGCCCTGCCACTGAAGGAAGACATGGAGGAGTGGATCACCATAGGCCACCTCTTCAACTTCCTGCACCAGAACAACCCTGACCAGGTACCCTGCTGCTGCTGCTGCTGGAGCTTTACAGGAGTGTTAGGTTCAGTCTAAGGGGGACAGGAGCTGTCACCTGGACCTGATGCTGGCGGATTTCAGGTGCTTTTTGTTGTTTTTGTTTGTTGGTGTGCTTTTTGTTTTTTCGAGACAGGGTTTCTCTTGTGTGTAGCTCTGGCTCTCCTGGAACTCGCTCTGTAGCCCAGGCTGGCCTCGAACTCACAGAGATCCGCCTGCCTCTGCCTCCCGAGTGCTGGGATTAAAGGCGTGCGCCGCCACCTTTTCCTTTCCTGTATCCTCGGCCTGCCCCAGCTTGTCACAGCTAACGATGGCCTTGGGCCCTCGGTCTTCCCCTCTGTCCTCCAGCTCCCAAGCTCAGGGATCCCAGGCTGCACTACTGTACTTAATTTTAGCAGTTCTAGGGATCAGATCCAGGGCCTCATGCACACCAGCTAAACACTTCTACCAACTGAGCTCCGTGCCAGCTTCGTTCTTCCTGTTTGTCCCCAGGGTTGGCAGGCAGCCTGACAATATGAGGATGCTCAGGTATCATTTGCCCACTTCTCTTGGGCTAAGCCAGTCCTGACGTCCCTAGGCTGATTTCCTAGGTCAGGGCTAGGAAAACAGTCACCACCCTGCCATGTACTGGAATCTGCTTCCGAAACGATTCTGCGTGTATCAACTACCTGCGTTTGGACACATGCTCCAGTATTTTTGGTTTTCGAAACAGGGTCTCTCTGTGTAGCTTTGGAGCCTGTCCTGGACTAGCTCTGTAGCCCAGGCTGGCCTGGAACTCACAGAGATCCGCCTGGCTCTGCCTCCCGAGTGCTGGGGTGAAGGCGTGCGCCACCACCGCCCGGCTGCTCCAGTATTCTTGTGTCACCTTTTGTCTTAAATCTTTTTGTGGGGGGGTGAGTATTTGGATGCTGGATTTCTGTTGGTTTTGAGGCTCTAACTTCAATCTTTGGTCACGCATCTTATTACCTCCGAAAAGAGATTGTTAGCCATGTTCCCTTATTCCTTCTTGAGCTCACAGCCGGGTCGGGTGGCAGCTCAAACGGTTCCATAGGCTTCTTCTCGCTTTGGCTCCACCCACCTGCCCTAAGCCCTGGGGCCCAAGGCCGTCACTGCCAGAGCTGACCAGCCCTTTCCCACAGGTTCTAGACGTGGCTCCCGAGCTCTTGCGCATCTGCAGCCTGATTCTGGCGGACAACAGAATCCCGCCAGGTGAGGTGACGACAGTCACAGCTCAGGGCAGGGGGAAGTGGGGGCGGCGGGCGACGGGACCCCGCCCCTCATCGGGCCCCCTCTCTACCCAGACACCAAGGCGGCGCTGCTGCTGCTCCTGACCTTCCTGGCCAAACAGCACGCCGACAGCTTCCACGCGGCCCTGGGCTCACTGCCCGCTAACAAAGCTGAGGAACTCCAGGCCATGCTGGGCCTCACCTAGACTGCGGGCTCCCGCCGGGCCCCCCCTCGGGCCCGAAGAGTACCAGTAGGCCCAGGCCCAGCTCATCTCACCAAAGACTGTATCATCGGAAGTCAATCCTGCTTGCTGTCTTACCGGGTGTCTCTGGGGCTGGATCTATACAAGCAGAGCTGTGACATCATACTGTAATAAAGGCAGCTTGCTCCCTGCTCGGACACTAGCTCTGAGAGCGTGAAGGCTAGAGGTGTGTGTTCAGAAAGGAGACGGGCAAGGGGCTGGAGTGTCTCAGCACTGAAGGCCGCACACTCTTCCTGCAGAAGACGGGACTGGAGTTCCTAGGACCCACACTAGATGGCGCCAAACTGTCTTTAATTCCAGCTCCAGGGGTTCACTGCCCCCTTGTGGCCTTCCCAGACAACTGCACTCATTTGCACGTTCAACATACACACGTAATTTAAAAATAAATCTCTAAAAAAAAAAAAAATGTCAGGCAAAGTCCAGTGAGGTAGGCTATGGTTTAATGAACTTGCTCAGTGGACTCTGGGTCCCAGATGAATCAGGAGGCGCCCATATGGCTTCTCTTGTTCCACACGAAGGATCTTCTGTGCGGACAGTACTAGTTGGGAAAGGAGAAGGCAGGTCACACAGTCACTATGGTGACGAGTGTGCTGCAGCAGGGTCTGGCCGGTCTGCCCCTGTCTTGCTTGGCCTACACTCACCCAGGAGCAGGTAGAAGACCCGAGAAGCCAACTTGCGGGGGCTGAGAGGGGGCACCAGGCTGCTGAAGTCAGGCGCCCTGTTGGCCTGCCGCTCCAGGGCTACGGCCCTGCGGGGTTGAGGAGGGTCAGCTGGGGTTAACAGACTAGCCCTACCCCCCCCCCCCCCAGGGACCCCTCTCTCGTACCTAAACACAGCCTCGGAAGTGAGCAGCTCCGGCCCTGGAGGCATCTCCACGGGCGCTTCGGGGAGTTCAGGCAGCATGGGCAGTGCTGGGGCCTCTGGCTGCCCCTCCTCCATCCAGGCCCTGGGAGACCGAGGGAGGAGGCAGCTCAGGGAAGGGGTGGGTGGCTGCCACAGGGACACCAGGCAGGGCCGCTGTGGGTCTGAGCGGGCGCCACCTGGCTGCTTACCACCGTTCTTCTGGGGGGATGAGGCTAGTACGGGACTTTTCCTCTTCAGCTGCTTCCAGGGAGAGCTCTGTCGAGGGAGAGAGCACTGGGGGGTCTGCTTGGCTCTAAGGGGCCACGCTGGGGGTGTGACATGCACAAAGGCCTTGGGTTCGGGCCTCGAGGCCACAGAGGTCCCCTCCCCACATTCTGGAGCCTAGTATAGACTTGTGCCAAGTGGGAGCGCGGGAGAATCAAGTCTGGGCCTCCTTAATGTTCAGCACGCCCCTCCCTGTCCGAACCAGCCTCAGCCGCTGGGGTGCTCGCTTCCCGAGGCTGGTTAGGACAGTGGTTCCCACCCGCCCCTCTTGTTGCAAGCGCCTACCTGAAGAGAGCATGAGGGGACCACTGGGCTCCTGGGCCTCCCTCAGAACCTGCGGGTGGGAGAGCAAGACCTGAGACCCAAGCACGGGTCAGGGTCTTGGTCTGGTGAGCCAGCTGGTGCACACCAGGAGGACGTCGGATAGAGCTTGCCAGAGCCGAGGGGGCTTCCAGGGCGCGGTGGAGGTGGTTACCTCAATCTCACTCAGCCCTTCGGTCTTTCTTCGGTCCTCCTCGTCCGCCACGCCCCTCTCCTCAGCTGCCTCTACAGGCTCCAGGGGTGGTCTCTGTCTGAGCATCCTTGGGGGCACCTGGGCACAGCGGGTCCAGAACGCTAGTAGTTCCGGGGCCAGCCAGCCAGCTGAGGACGAAGAGAGAGGTTTCAGTCATAAGGCTGAGGAGCCCAGGTCCTGAAGATCCCGCCTGTCCCACGGTCACCGTTCTTACAGACAGTCGGGGTTCCGAAGAGCTCCGCCGGGCTTGTGATCATCCTTTCGGGCTGGACCACGGGCTGCAAGAGGGTGAGCGGCCAGCGGCCCCTTATGAGAGCGCCACTCTTCACTGCACGGTTCCCAGGACCCACGCCTCTGCAGGCTCGTGACCTGGCCCATATGCTTGTGGCTAAAAGGGTAGATGGTAACCTGGTGTCCGTGGATAACCTGGGTATTTGCAATCCCACACACACGCACTTTCTAGGAAGTAGGGCCTTCTGTTGTACTCCCAGGGCTGCTCGGGCGTTCAGAAGTCCAGCCAGACCTGCGTCCCTCTGCTCCCTGGGGGGAACTTGAGCCGCACTCACATACTCCGAGCAGTGAACTCCGGGCTGTAATTGTTCCTCAAATTTCTCCCGGGAGATCTGAGTCTCCTTGTCCCAGAATAGTAACTGGCGGCGTCGGCGGCGTCGGGCAGGTCGCCTCAGGGGAGACGGGGGCCTCTTCTGGAGTAGAAGGAGAGGCTAGGGCCAGGCTGTCCATCTCCCCTTTCCAGGGGACTCCCAGTGGCCCCCCACTCTGCCCCTGTCAGTTGTCTGGGGAAGCTGGGGTAAGGTCCCTTCGTAACTCCTAGCTTACTCAAAGGTTCCTATTGGGAAGAGAAGCCACACCATGAGGTAGGGGAGGGACAGCTTTTCCTGTGTAAGCAAAATCCTCACTGTAGACTAGCAATGGCCATGGGCTTCCGGACAAAGATTTAGGACGGGAAGATAGAGAGGGATGCAGCCCAGGGAAGAACCTACTCACCTCTGGACTAGGCGGGGCAGGTAGACGCAGCTCCCGAGGCGGGGTCACCTCTGCAACAATACCCATAAGCCCCCCCCCCACTGGTTTGTTTGTTTGTTTGTTTGTTTGTTAAGACAAGGTCTGGCGGGGCTGGAGAGATGGCTAAGAGGTTAAGAGCAGAGCACCGACTGCTCTTCCAGAGGACCCGGGTTCAATTCCCAGCACCCACATGGCAGCTCACAGTTGTCTGTAACTCCAGTTCCAGGGGACGAAACACCCATGGCAAACACCAACACAAGGTCTGGCACTCTAGCCCCAGAGGGTTTTTGGCAATCCTGCCCCAACCCGTTTCTGGAGTGACTGGGCTACTGATGTTTAATCTCCGCACGTCATTAGTCCCTTCACTCTTTGTTTGTTTGTTTGTTTGTTTGTTTGTTTGTTTGTTTTCAGAGAGAGGGTTTCTTTATGGAGCCCTGGATGTCCTGGAACTCACTTTGTAGATCAGGCTGGCCTCGAACTCACGGAGATCGCAAACCCTGGGATTAAAGGCCTGCACCACCACCACTGGGCTAGACCCTTCATTCTTGCAGCTACAGTGTCTTCCTCAGGGTAGGGTAAGGACCTTGGTCTCTGCAAGTGTCCGAGTCTTCCCAAGGTGATGGACACTCACCCGTGAGGAGGGCCCCTGGCTCCCAGCCTGTCAACTTCTGTACCTCGGGAGGGAAGACCTGGCCTGGAGGTGCTTCTCCTGTCTCTTCAACCCTGAGGGGAAACAGGCAGATAAGGAAACCCTTCCCAGCAACGACCCCTTACCTGGTACAGGGATTCCTGCCCTTACTGTGCAGGGGCTGGAGGTGAGAGGGAGGGGACCACACCATCACCCTCCAGGGCCCGGGGTTCTTCCTTGGATTCTGCGGAGAGAGGATCAGAACACTCAGGAGAGAGAAGAACGGGGCCCTGTCCACTCCCAGGCTGGCTGGGCGGGGACCTGACCATCCAGTGCCGGGGCCGCCCTCCGCAGCCGGCCTCGCCGCCGCTGCTCCTCCAGCAGTATGGCGTCGTCTTCCTCGGCGATCAGCAGGTCCAAATCTCCTCGACTGACCTCTGGGAGATCCTGCTCCCCCTACGGAGAGAGGGAAAGAGTGGATTTTTGAGGTTGAGCCCAAGGAAGCCCAGTGGGTACTCAGGGGACGGGGGGTGGGGGTGGGGGAAGTGGAAACGGAAGGCAGAACTTAAGGGATGCGACGGGGCTGCACTGGAGCCCTGTGTTTCCGGGGAAACTCACCTCAATCCGCAACATGCGTATGGGCTCTGCCTCCTGTAGGGTGATGATCTCAGGAGACTGCACGGTGGCTAAGGGCCTGTCTGGAGGGGTGGGAAAGTCACAGCAGCCCTCCTACTTCTTTCCAAGTTGTTGGGGCAAAAGCATGGACTTTGGAGACCGAGAGTCGGACCCAGGTTAGGCTAGTTACCAGCAAAGACTCCAAGTGCATTTCTCTTTTTGTTATTGAGACACGTCTCCCTACGTAGACCAGGTTGGCCTCAAACAAAGAGACTTTGCCTGCCTCTGCCACTGCTGAGATTAAAGGTGGGCAATCACCACACCCGGCCTCCAAGTTCATTTCTTAGCCTTTGTGAACCTTGCTTCCCTTATCCTTAAAATGGAGACGATAATTCTGATCTCATTTGGACTCTTTTTTAAAGATTTATCTTAATTATTAATTATGTAAATGTGTATATGTCTCTATGTGGGTGCATGGGTGCCAGTGTGTCAGATCCTCTGGAGGCAGAGTTATAGGTGGTTGTGAGCCACTGTGTGGGTGCTGGGAACTAAACCTGGGTCCTCTGTCTGAGCAGTCAGTACTCTTAACCACTGAGCCAGTTTGCCAGCCCCTGGCTTTGAACTCTTGGTCTTCCTGCCTCTACTTTCTGAGTGCTGGGATAACAGATGTCCACGTCTCCCCCACCCCCCCAAAAAAAGGAAATGTTGAAATGGTTTCCTTAACCAGTCTAGGCTGGCCTTGAACTCAGTCTGTAACCCAGGCAGGTTACATAAACTTGTAGTTTATATAAACTATGTATCTAAGTTATATAAACTTGCAGTCTTCCCACCTCAGCCTCCCAAGGAAGTGGAATTCCAGGCATGTGTCCCCAGGCCTGCCTGGGCCTGCCTCTTAAAGAGTCATTTACTCAGCTCCCTGTGCCTTTCATCAGAATGGCCCGCCCAGCTGACCTGGTCCGGTGACTTCAGGAGGAGTCTCCTTACCAGTTTTCTCTGGGGTCACAGCCTCCAAAAGGTGTCGAATCTTTGGGAAGAGATTGGGGACAAAAGGTAGGTCTCAGCTCAGCCCTCTAAGTCCTCACTTTCAAAACATTCAGTGGACACCGGACACCAGTCTGCCAGTCTCTCTTTATATTTTTTTAATTTTAGAATTTTTGCTTTCTTCTTATTTATTTTTGAGACAGGTCTCACTGTGTAACTCAGATTGGCCTAAAAAAATTTTAAGATTTTATTTATCTATGCATGCATCCTTGGAGGCCAGAAGACAGAGTTGGATGTTGGATCCCTGCAGCTGAGTTAGGGGTGGCTGAAAGCTGGCGGTGAAGTCCTGTCCTCTGTAAGAGCAGGACACTCGGAACCACTGGGCCATGGCTCCAACCCAACCCCACCCCTGCTTAAACTTTGGACAGCCCTCCTTGAAACTCTCGAGGTCTTAAATTAGCTTATATCACTACATCCGGCGTGTGTGTGTGTGTGTGTGTGTGTGTGTGTGTGTGTCTGTGTGTGCATGCGTGCGCCCGCATGTGTGTTCGAGAGTTTTCAGAACTGGGAATCAAACCTAGGGCTTTGTGCATGTTAAGCAAATACTGGGCTACACCTCAAGCCCTAAACGAAGCCTTTGTGCCATGTGACATCAGTATGCCATAAAGTCACCAGCCTAACTATTGGTTGTCCCTCCTGTCCCTGGCCTGGGCTCCCCCCCAGTGTGTCACCTTGTCAGTTTGTGCGAACATCAACTGCTGTTGTGGACAGAGATGAAGAGAAAGGATTCTTGGGTGGATGGTGGTGGGGACAAGTCTGTGCGCGATGCCGGCAGAGCCGATGAAAAGGTCAGAGCAGGCTCAGATGCCAACCATCACTTGCTTTGGGCTTCAAGTGGGATAATGAGTTCACGGAAAGAGCGGCATTCGACTAAGTCTGTGAGGATCAGTAGGCCCTGACTAGCAGAGAATGGAGACCCATGCTTGGTGGGTTGAGAAACGTATTTCCACAAGCAGATGTGGCATTTGGGGGACATGGGAAATGGGCTGCTGTTTGGTAGCTAAGGATGCCTAGAGAAGAGAAGAGAATGGGGCTGGGTACCACTAAACCCAGGCACCAAGATCCGTCGATGCTGGTACTCTGTGCATTCAGGACCAGCTGCTTGAATGAGACACTAGGGACTGGAGCACTGTCTAAGCTGTGGGGACGAGGGGAGAGGCCAGGGGAAAAAAAAACCACCATCTAGATTCGGGTCTCGGGTGGGGACAGTGGAGACGGGAAGAACGGTTTCTCCCGGGGAAACCGTTCTCTCAGGCTGACTCTAAGTCAGCGCGTGCTTACATGTTCACACCCACCCATCCCCTTGCTCCATGGCCTCTTACGGAAACCTCTGGCAGGGTCCCACCCCAAACCTCAGTGTCAGGTTGACACAAGGACACAACTCTCCCTTCTGATTGCCGTCTCGTGACTCCTGAGGTGATCTAGAGAGGTGAGCCCTACCTGAGGAATATCAAATGGACTGGGAAGTCTGGGATCCACAGACATCGTCCCAAAAAACGGTTCTGGGGCATCTTCCAGTGTCTCCATCATGGCCAGGCAGTTGGGAAGAAGCAAGCTAGGTCTGGGAGAGAATGTGGGATGTCAAGGACGAGGCTGGGAGTGGGTGGGATGGCTCAGCAGGCGCTGCCACCAGGACACCCCCCCCCCCCCAAAAAAAAAAAAAATAGAGGCTGAGACCAAGCAGGTCTGGATGGCCCCAGTTCCAGGGACTCACAGGTCAGCCTCCTCCATATCAATCCGAATCCGCAGCTGGGCCCGGTGAAGGTGCTCCAGGATGTGCTGGATGTCTTCTGTGGGCAGAGGAGGAGGAAAGAACCAGCTCAGCCACGGGCCATTCCGCTCTCGCCCACCCCCAGGGTCCCCAGCCTTACCCACAAGGTACTGGCACTGCTGTGAGTACACCCTGATGACACCAATCTGAAGCTGGGCGGAGAGGTAGAGGGAGAAGCGGGGCCGGGGCAGCCCGGGCATCGGAGGTTGTACTCGCACCAGCACATAATTGAGGATTTCCTCACTGGGAGAACAACAGGCTCTGATCAGTGCGGCCACTCACAGGAGCTCCCGAACCAGAGACCCCCTCCCTCTTTCCCGGGTCTTACCAGGTCTTCACCACGTTCACTTTCAGGTATTCGCGCTTCACCAACCGGCTGCCTCGGGTTGCCGCCAGCCTGGAGGGGTGGGGACGGGTATGGCCTGACAAACTGAGATTCCCACTGCGTGGCTCCTGGCGCCGGCCACCAGCCCTGGCTTACCAGATCGTGGAGAAGCAGCCTGTGTGGCGCTGAAGCACGTTGGGATAGTAGAACATCTTCGCTCGGTCTCACGCCCAGCACCAATCCCGTTTGGCTCTCAATCCGAATTCTTTAGGACGCGGGATTCCCAGCACCATTGAAGAGCAGTAGGAATTTGGACAGGGGGCATGGTGGATATGGACGCAAAAAGCCCAGTTAATAAGGCGGCCAACTACTGGTAATTGAATTAGGAGATATCCAAACAGAGCCACAGGCGCTGGGCACCCCGCATCCTGCCATCCATTCCTGAGTAGGTCCGCACATCACTCGAGGGCGCGGAACTTACCTTCTTCAGAACTGGCGTCCTGGACAGAGATGGGGAGGTCCAAGGGGAAGCCTGGCAGCGACAAAAGAGAGTCTTCAGGGAAGACTGAGTCCTCGGCGTCGAGCGTCTGGACCTGGCTCTAGGTCCAGTCTCCCTCCGGCGGGACCAGGAGCACGCTCTCCAGGGCTTTGCGCCACGACAGCCAATGGGGAGCGGCGGAGGCGAAGCTCGGACTCCGGGTGCCTGGCAGCAAAACTCAGTTCCAGGCCATAGGCTCTTGGAGACTGATGGGGAGCCAATCAGGAGAATCCTGAGCGCTACCGGGGCATTGTGAGGTGTCCTGGCCAATGGGCTCTCGTTCTTTCGGGTAGTAACAAGGATTTCTCCAAGGGGTTCCGCTGGCCAATGAACGGGAAGAAAACCCAGTCTCTCCCTGGAGACAGCTTGCTAGCAGGGTAGCTACTAGAATGGGAGATGGGGTCATGTCAAGGGCAAATGCCCTGGCGCTGCTTTATAACACAGAGATGCAAGGCACCCGTACCTTGCCTGTGCATGAGCCCTGTTCTTACCCCTAAACTCTACCAACCTGATTTTGTGTCTAAGAAGGACACAAAGTGTTGCACTAAGTGTGAGGTGGCCTTGTAATCACCACATGTCGACAAGGAAGACAACGGCCACAAGAGCTGTAACTGCAAATTCCCGAAATCTCACCTGCCACTTGGCGGGGAGGCACGTTCAGCCGAGGCAATGTAGACACTATCTCTAATCAAAAAGCAAAAAACAGAGGCCAGGAGTGGTAGTGCACACCTTTCATCTCAGCAACAGGAGGAGCTCCATGAGTTTGAGACTAGCCGGGTCTACAGGCCAGTTAGGAAGCGATCGCAAAACCCTGTCTCAGAAAAAAAAAAAAACAACAAGTAATCCAGGGCTGGAGTGTAGCTCAGTAGTAGAGAGCTTGCCGGGCGCGGCCCGGAGCTCCACTCTCAGGACTGCAAAAACGGGAAAAAAAAAACAACCTTTGATCCAAGCACTCAGGAGGCAGAGTCAGGCAAAGCCTGTGAGTCTGAGGCCACCAAGGTCTACACAGTGACTTCCAGGCTAAACAAAAAACGAAGGTGTGTGCATGCCTGCAATCTCAGTTCTTGGGGGGAAAAGCAGGAGTTGAAGGATAGCCTTCACTTGACAGTGAGTTTAACACTAGCCTGGGCCATGGTGAGACCCAGCTCAAAAACCTCAGAATTAACAGAAAGTACGTGGGTTTTTGTTTGCTGTTTTGTTTTTTCTTTTCTTTCTCTTTCTTTCTTCCTCTTTTTTCTTTTTCTCTTTCCTTCCTTCCCTTCCTTTCTTTCTTTCCTTCCCTTTCTTTCTCTTTCTTTCCTTCCTTCCCTCCCTTTCTCTCTCTCTCTTTCTGTTGTTGAGAAGGGTTTCTCTGTGTAGCCCTGGCTGTCCTGGAACTCTCTGTAGATCAGGCTGTCCCTGAACTCAGAGATCCACCTGCCTCTGCCTCCTGAGTGCCATGCCTGGCTCAAGGCATTTAAAAACAAAAACCAGGAATTTAACTTTTTTTTCATATTTATTTGTGTGTGCCTAGGGCATATCTGATCATCAGAGGACAACTCGCTGGAGTCAGTTCATCCTTCTATCATGTGAGGCCTAGGGATTGAACCTGGAGCCCTTAGGCTTGGTAGCAGGTGCCTTTATCTATAAGCCATATTGTCAGCCCCTCAAATAACTTTTTATATAAATTAAGCATACGGATACTATGGTATCGAAGTCATAAATACCTTTTGCCCTGGTTCTCTGCCTTAGACTATCCGTTCCCACTTTGGCTCCAGGGTAGGCTCTGATATCAAGACCCAGTTCTGTGGCAGCTGAACTGACCCTCTCTGTCCCCTTCAGCCCGGCACTCTTGGGAGCGGGGTTGCAGGTGTCCAGTCTGTTTGACTTCTAGCTACACAAGTACAGTATTTGTCAAGTGGAAGTTCAATTGCCCTATATTTACAACTATGCATGGTCAAAACCAAGAGACTGAGAGACGGAGTGTGGTGACTCATACATATAATCCCAGCACTGAGGGGAGGCTGAGGCAGGAAGACTGCCCGAGTTCAAGGCCATCCTGGGCCATACAGTAAGTTCAGCTTGGGTTAGTGGAGCCCTTGTCCTAAACATGAGTCTTCTGAAACCTCAAAGCCAGTGACTCAACTCACTCAGGAAAGCCACACCTCCTAATCATTCCCAAACAGTTCCACTGACTGAGCACACCAAGTATTCATGTATGTGCTAGACGGTGGTAGCTCATGCCTTTAATACCAGCACTCAGGAGGTAGAGGCAGGCGGATCTCCGAGAGTTTAAAGTCAGCCTGGTACAGTTAGTTCCAGGACAGCCAAGGCTACACAGAGAAGCCCTGTCTTGGGGAAAAAAATAAAGTGTTCGGGGGCTGGAGAGATGGCTCAGAGGTTAAGAGCACTGACTGCTCTTCCAGAGGTCCTGAGTTCAATTCCCAGTACCCACATGGTGGCTAACAACCATCTGTAATGAGATCTGGCGCCCTCTTCTGTATACATAATAAATAAATGAATCTTTAAAAAATAAATAAAGTGTTCAATGTCTGAGCACGTGGAGGCCATTCTCGTTCAAAGTCCCCAGTGGTTAGAGTGCTGCTTGTCTGTAAGCCTCTCCTAGAGACGGACTCCCAGTCCTTTCCCCAGTCTGGGGTGCCTGACACTTGGATGGAGGCCACTGGCCCTGGAAATCCTAGGCCAAGTCTGAAGGACAAAAGAGCAGGGTCAAGAATTGAGGAAAGAGAGAACTCGAGCATGTCGGGATGGCCAGCATGTCGGGATGGCCAGCATGGCGGTATGGCCAGCATGGCGGTATGGCCAGCATGGCGG